GGACCATTAAAATGATACCCTACTTTGCTATAAATAACCAAAACAACATGTCTTTCCTTTGTTTTAGTATAAAGAAGCACAAGAACATTAGGAAAATGAAAAAATTAAATGAACATATCTTTTACAAAACATTTCATGAAGCACCTTACATTTCCTTCGACAAATGTGCAATTTACTTTTATCATTCACATATATGCATTGCAACTGATCCCACTGATTGTACAAACTTTAACAAGTAATTGGTTTTGAAAAATATAGTAATGCACTTTAAGATTAAACGAGATTTATAAAGAAAGGAAGTTTTAAACCATTTACACGTGCATATAAAATCTAAATGTAATCCCTGCCTACACCTTACAAACTAAGGAGCGTGCTATTAAATGTGTAAATGTGAGAGTGCTATTGATAGCGTCTGCTGTCATGGGTCTGTCTCAGTGATGGACTGAGGCTGCTGTTGTCTTCTTCTCTGATCAAAACAGTGTCCCCTAGCGGATACTCAATGAATTGCACCTTATTAAAAATATTTATTCTGTGTCTTTTATGCATTTTCTTCACTTTTAAATTATCCTGTGGGGCCTGATTGAACGGCCCGCGGACCGTATGTTTGACACCACTGCTTTACATAAGCATCTCGCGGGCCGGATTAAAGTCCTTTGCGGGCCGGATCCGGCCCGCGGGCCGTACGTTTGACACCTCTGCTCTAGACGCTCTTCTGGCACCAACAACCATGCCACGTTCAAAGCCACTCAAATCACCTTTCTTCCCCATACTGATGCTCGGTTTAAACTGCAGGAGATTGTCTTGACCATGTCTACGTGCCTAAATGCACTGAGTTGCCGCCATGTGATTGGCTGATTAGAAATTAAGTGTTAACGAGCAGTTGGACAGGTGTACCTCATAAAGTGGCCGGTGAGTTGTATATTCATAACATGCACAGAGACACACAAATGTTTTTTTTTTTTTTTTTTCGTCTCCTCACTTTGCAATCCACTTGGGACCAGCCCGCGAGCTACTGGTCGATCGCGATCGACGTAATGGGCACCCCTGCTGCATTTTAATGATGCCAGCACAACACAAACTTAATAATATCATCACAGGCGAGAGTTTCATCCCACAAATCAGAAGGGGCTAACCTGCTTGAGTCAGCATGGTGCCACAGTGCACTGTGAAGAAAATACACTGAAGGTGAAAGAAGTACAACAAACTATTGTGCAGTTTGCATAATTGTGTTTCTTTGTCATTTCTTTTGGGGTGAATAACTTGGGGAAACGCATTCTACTAATAATGGACTCAATCAATCGTCCTTCCATTGGTAACTCAGAGATATCTGACAATTGAGCCTGACGACTCACAAAAAGTGGGAAATCAGGCGGGAAAATCGACCCGAATACCTTAAAACGGGGCTGCCCAAGATGTCTCCCTCTTCCAACACACCTGATTCAAACGATCAGCTCATCGGCAAGCTCTGCAGTCGCATGATATCAATCGTGATCATGCAGCCACCGTGGGCTCTCATGCTCAGAATTCCTGAACAACAGATGAAATGTAATTAAGGCAACTTCCCCTCATTTTTTTTTTCCTTCTGTTAAATCATTTTATTCATTTATTACCAACGGTCATATTTCAATATGCCTGGAGTATGTTCTTGGGCATATTCTGCAGTCCTCCTCACACAAACCAGCACCCTGAGGACATTTTTGTGGAAAGTAATATGGTGAAGGTCTGGCTGTTATATCGGCTAGAATTGAATTAAATACAATTACAGCTTGTTTGCTTGATAACAGAATGACACATATGGCCCCGCTTTGCATAAAGTAATTATATTCCGCACGCCGCAACTTTGTGCAATGCAGAAGCCAAACCGTGCATGATGAAAACATTTTAGAAGGCTTCTTTTGTTGATGTTAATTACATTTTCAATTTTGGATACATTTTTTTAATTAATGAAAGCAATTTTCTCTTTTTTTTTAATTATTGCTTTTAGAGAAAACTGTGCAAAAGTTTAATTAATCATCGTTGCTGTCCTGTTGCTTTAAGCGTTACTGCCATCAAGAATTGTGGATAATCCTTTTGAAAAAGGTGGTCAGGAGTACCCTATGCTAAAGGGGGCTTAAAGATATCATCAAGGCACCGTTACTTAGAATTTGTATAGTTCGAACAATCCTACTCAAAGAAGATAGGAAAGGCAAAATTAAGAATTCCAAAAATGTCATCAGCACCCTCGGTCAATTTGATCTGGCCCTCGTCACAATTCATTCCCTCCAGGAGCAACAGATAAGTGAAGAAAAAGAGTCGTGGAAGAGTGAAATATTAATACCTTCTCTCCTGTTCATTGGCCCTTCAAGGTCATTTGCTCACTTTTCATTGTCGGACAACAGGCTGACAGCAAAGGCAATTGAAACTGAGAAGATTTCCACTGTGTCCTCCAGCAAATTAAACCAAGGAAGCCAATGGCGTTTTTGTTGCATGACCTCGGTTCACATTGAATACCTGGAGGGAATAAGTGAAGGAAACGACAGCGGATGAGGAGGAGGCAGAGGTCTGCTTGGGAGACAGAAGAGATCTTTACCTTCTTTTATTTGTCATACACGGCTTTCGTGTGCTTAAAGTGATGGCGGCTTTGTATGTGTGTGTGTGACATGAGGGCAGCTCAGTGTTTGGGTGCTTTATGTGAGTTGTCTGCCTCCTGTTAAAGGACAGACCCAATCAATATAAGCAATCAATGCAGCAAGAAGGTTGGAGGGAGGAAAGTGCCAGGTACATATCACGCCCGAACTCATTGCATCTGTTTTTGTCTACCGTACACATACTTGGGCGGTCACATAGCCCGTAAAAGCAATGCTGCAGGTGGTACACAGCAACAGCGTGTCTTTCAGGACATTCAATTGCCATTGCATCAAGCTGGCCATTACCTTCCGCTTCTTGCAAACCCATTGCTCTATGTTGTGGATTTTGACACATGCGGGAACAAGGGAGTGAGCGCCCAAAACTCAGAGATGATCATGTAAAAGTGCCCTACGATTTTAGGCCAATCGGAGTCGGGGTTTGGGAGCTACAATCTGTTGGATTTTGACATGGATGTTAAGGTTTGTATGTGACCCCAATTGCACGACAACAGGCAGGTATGGTGGAAGCCAATGCTTGTTGTTGTTTATTAGAATCTTTGCAATGTCACTCAGGGAGAAGCACGAAGAATCCACAGGGAAATGTCCACACAGGAAACGAAAACCTCACTCAGGGAGAAAACTGGAACTTACAAGTTCAGGGAGAAGCATGAGGAGTACACAGGGAAATGTCCACACAGGAAACGAAAACTGCAGGCGATGCCAACAGATATCACTACAGGTGGTGACGGCATGAACTTGCACTGAGGAATGGTTTGGGAGCCAACTTATACTCGCCAACTTATACCAGTCTAAAGTCTAATGAATTGTTGAAAAATGAAAATTGAATATTCATTGGAAATCTGAGGGTATGAATACTTTGATTCCTTATTGCTGCTAAATTTTGAGCGATTACATTCCATGATTTTTTTTTTTTTTTTTTTTAATTGGTCAGTCACGCCACGGGGTCAATTTCAAGGTCGAATTATAGATCAAAATGTCAACCCACTGAAATATGCACCAATTTTATTAAATCCTTGTTGAATTCCTGCCGGGGTGATCAGGCAATCAGACCCTTCAGACAAACTTTAAAACACAAGCGAGACTAGGAGTCAAGCAGAGTTGTCTTACACACATATACAAGGAAAGTGAAGGAGTGTTATCCATTACAATCTCCGAACTGCTCTGGAAACACTTAGCTCGTCTCCCCTCTTTTATTGTCTTCATGAGTGTCCTAATACACACATTTCTAAAGGGGTGGGAAAACTCACAATGTATTCCTCTGTAATTGAAAGAGTCATGCTGATGGCTGGTTTGTGATAGCAGCTGTGGATGCGTTACGGGCGCGCCATCCTGAGGCTGGTATCTTCACGTCAAGCTGGGCTCTTTTGCATGATCATGCAGGGGTGTCAAACTCATTTTTGTTGAGGGCCACTTTGGAGTCACG